ATAGAGTAGAACACAGCTAAAGAAATACATCATGTATGAACAAGGTGCCGAAAAAGGAGAAGTTTCCTCATTGTTTACGAGACTATGCCAAACCAAATGAATCTAGTAACCCATCTCCTAGTAGACATATCCACACACAACCAACAGACAAGTATATACATCACACAACCAGGTACACCCAAGCAATCAAGGAAAGTATATACAAAAAAAACCTCAAGCCCACACCACACATACGATCATGGACACACCAGAGGCAAACCAACCCTCTCAACGACGGCGTCTATATCATCTCGTTTATATATCGCCTCAAACCGAGGCGATGGTACACCGGCGCGCACACACGCTTCTCGGCCGAGCTTCTTATCTCTGGCCATATAGTACGCTTCGGCGCAGTTACCAGGCAACTTCATACGCTCGCACAGATCACCAACCAGCGTCATAACACCTTCGTGTGGACTAAAAACGCCGTCAAAATCTATCCCAGTAGCCTCGGCTGCCTGCTGTACATTGTCAGAGGCTTTCTCGTTGTCGTTCATGTCGCAGTAGATCTCCCCGCCATCTTCGAGAAGACCATCGTCCCGCATGAGCTGTAGCATGAGTATAAGTATAAGAAATAAGTTCTAAGCACACTTGTTAAACCGGGAATATAATTTAAAGCACATAAATGCCCCCGTCAACTATCTCGATAGACAAACGCACACGACTACATATACGTATACAAACTGATGCACGAAACCCACTGTATGTTTATATAAGCACATACACGCATTCGTGTAAAATATTCAAAAAAAGAGTGAACTCGTTACGCATTGACATTAAAAAAACCCCCTACAAATTCACCTTGGCCAGGTTGTGGTTTTCAGGACATTCATGGAAGACTACCCACAGTTGGGCACCGTACGACCTTATATTCAGCAGAAGCTCGCGAATTCCACCATAGGTCTCATGAGTATAGAAGGCGGTGAGCCAAAGGATTTTTTTGCCTTTCGTCTATCATTCCGTTGCGATGTGATTCAAACCATTAATATGGTGTATGGTATTGTTTAGCATTTGAAAAAGAAAGGATACTGTTGGAATTTCAATGCTTGTAAAATGAAGCCAAACGAGGTTGATATAGTGATATAAAACATAACATTGAGCAAATATACGCTCTCACACTCCAGATATATTTATTTGTATTTACATAATATATATATATATATATAAACATATATATACACATATTTATATTTATATTTATATATATATATATACACTTACACACACATACATACAACACACACACATTAACTAGTAATAAACACAGCCACAGCCACAGACATATATA